CAGAATAATAGAGCGACAAAAATCCACCGAGTAGGTTCGAGCATACTACTACGTATTTATAAGCGATGCCAAAGCAATGGGTCTGTTTTTCAATTTTATACAGAATCGCCTAAATTGCTGTTGACACTTAACAAAATTGTTGCCAAGCGTATGCAGCGGATTGCTTCGATCATGCCAAAATCAAGCTTGGTATTATCTTCCAGTAATACACCGCCATCATTCTACAGTTTTTTCTCTCCTGTCTGTCCACTGCAGTTCAACCAAATACGTTACGATTCAATAAAGATCCATTGAATTCAATGGACATTAATTTTCCGCCTAATAGGTCTTATCGTACTAAGTCCCATCGCCGATCTTCACTATTAACAGAGGACGCCGGTCTGGTTAGCAGCAGCAGCAGCAGCAGCAGCAGCAGCAGAGCCAGCATTGATTTCTTGTGGAAGAAAATAATCTAGCCTGCAACCATCTTAACATCGTACCATTGTGTCAAAAACGATATTGGCTTGTCTTTTTGTTGCTACGGATCGTAAGCTGTTCATATTGCTCACCCGTTGAGGTCTGGAGACAAAGTTCTGTCCTTGCCAAAATTGTAACAGATCAGGCACCTCTACGTCAGCTAGCCTGCAGCAGACTGCAGTATTTCTAAGTAACGGCATTTTTGCGATTGTCCCTTCCTTCTGGGTTCGTGGCGTCCGGTCGGAAACAAATTAAGTACAACGTACCTTTTTAGAGCTACCCGAGTGAGTAGACCTAGTTTTGGACGTAAAAGCAGAAGGCTGGCTATAAATAACGAGGTCGTAAAAGCCTTTAATTACACCAAACGATAACACTCTCCGTTGATCCCGCATTCTCCTCCAGCTTTTTCTTTGTAGAAACAACGTTCCAGTGGTGAATCTAGGACAGTCTGTGTCCTATGGCTGACCGACAGAGATATGGATATAGTTAAGGATGAAGAATAGCTACCGGTTTGCGTTTAAGTTGCCGTCTGTTTCGTAAATCACCTCTATAAAAATTTCTCCCGCCATCGCTCCGTTGCTTCACGGTTAGAGGCTGGCACTTTCTAGGGGCAACAGCAAATGCCGATGCCACAAACCAAAGATAACTGGAAGACCAATATTGGCCCTCAGTAGGGCTTCTATGATACGTGTTTACTTCTAGCCTGGCACGTTATTAAACAGGTCATGTACTTTGACGTGTCCAGAGCTGCTTAGCTGCTACTCGAGATTTATACGTGCTAAATTGACAGACTGATACAGTGAAACAGGAAGAGAGCGCTCGTTGTTCCTTATGGTTGCATCGCAGTCGGGTCACAAGCGTTAATTTCGGACAGACGAGTCTGCATAGAGCGCAATAGCAGCGTTACGATTGCTGCTGCTTCTAGCAGTTAGTTTTCTCATTGATGCGAGCACATACACGCACAATCAGCACGTTCATCCGTACAGACATCAGTAGTAACGTATTGTTTTCTCCGTTTATGGCGAGGCAATATAGACGATGTATATTGAAAGAGAAAGATACAACATAGATTGAAATGAAAAGATAACCCCTGACGTGCGGCTAGAGCCAGCCGGGTACAAAAGCTCCCTTTAGGATCGCTGGCTTTTGTCCATCCATCAATTTGTTTCAATCAATCCCTTCCCGAGCGAGAAGTTTTGTTGGGCTCAATCTAATTAATATTTACTTCTAGGTAGCGACCATTTACGCACCCTTATTGAATTAGTCTCATCACTCGTTATTTATTAACATCGTTAGACGGAAAGTGTTCAGATCAGCTAGATATCTACTAACTGCTCCGTACCGCTCCGGGGTATTTGATATGGGGAACAGCGGCTGCAGTAATACATTTCATATTATATTAGATTAGTATCTCCGCCTATATTCTAGTATATCTTTGGTTTACATTTTAGCGGCGTTCGCTCGCGCCGAGTTTTTCGAACAACGATTTGGGTATCGTATCGGCGCGGCAGATGAAAATTGATGCGTGAATCCGTACGTACTTGGCCTGTCGTGAAGCTTTGATTCAACGTGAAGCATCCTATAGCGCGATAGCTGGGGAAACAAATAATCTACGCGTTTAGATGAGCTGTAGTTAAGATACGCCGGCCTCTACTTTTAATGTTTTATCACATAGTATATTCGTTATCATCAGTAATATTGAAAAATATTAATAGCAGAGACGTCAATCGTGCCCAGGTCAATTTGTTTGTAGAACAGAAGGACATAATCAACGAAAACCCTTATTGCTATTATCGTTGCCCTTATTACTATATTCGATCGTTCTTTCGTCACTAAATACGTAGTAGACTTACTGTAGAACTGCGTCATAAGCATTGTCAACTAAATTCCCAACTGCGGGTAACAGTATCGTTGATTAGTTAGGAAATCAATTTAAGTTCAAACCAGCGCGTCTGATCGCTGGAACTTGAATTACTCGAACAAAAGGGAGAACAAGACGAGCAACATGAACGATCTTCGCCCATATATTATAGGACTATATATGGAAATCGCCACACTATAGCGCGTATCCAGATGGCATCATTATAAACTGCCTTTTGTGACGTTCTCGGGCACTAACGCGTGTAAGCCAGTACACTGCTGCTATTGTTCCCTGCTTGGCTTGTCACTCATTTACTCACTAAATCATACTTGAAGTGGTCTACCTAGGGGGAAGCTGTTATAACATTCCTATATTTCGTAGCTAGGCGCAGTCCTTTTCTACTTAATACTGGCGAGCGTAGTGTAAGATGGCGGCATCCCACCTTGCTACCTAAGCAGTGTAGTACCAACTGCATCGGTACGGATACATATCGCCTAATGTAAAACTATCTGCCAGTTAGCCGAATTCCGACGCCCAACTGCCCCGAACATCGTTTGGCCCCAGAGAAATGTTCCGCGACCGGGTCGTCAGTATTCAACGGACATCTACCACCCCTACTACACGCTGCCGCTTCTAGCAAAGGGTACTCTTCAAACCAGTTCTTTTTCGCGTCCTTCCTAACTTCGAAACGAATTGCCGGGTCGGTTGAGTGCTAGCGATTGGCCTTCTGAAGAAGCAAGCCCCGACTTGCAGTCTGTGTCGATTCTGTTTTGAGGCTTTCTCTGCCTTCAATGTTCTCGACCTTCTTCTTTTTCTCGTTCGACGAGAAAAAGAAAAGCACAGCCAATAAGAACGCCACAGCCGATACCTTATGACGCTGTGTTGGGTGGCGGTCGCTGGCAGCTTCGTCCGTCCTATCTTGCGCCATCCGTGGCTGGTGCCTTCTTGAAAATTCAATAGAAAAAAAGAGGACCAGGAAAAAGAGAGTAGTCTTGTTCGTTTTGAGCCGGCTTATGTCCCGCAACGTACGTGCCTAGCATGCTGAGATCAACCTATAGATTATTATTACACAGTTGAACTACTAGTATCTAGACGCAGTCAACAGGATAGCGGTAAGTTCGGGAAAGCAAGTGACCGACAGATATCGCGGATATACTCCTATGTACTTTTTCGAAACTATAAGAGACCCGCACAGCGATTCTGAACTCCTGAGCCGTAGCTACAACCACGGCCTCAGAGAGTAGGACTTAAGCGGAGAGCGATCAACATCCAGGGACATTTATGGAGAAATGGTTAAAAGGGATAGAAAATAAGCTGCAGTGCCTGCAAGTGTTCTTCTTAGCAGAAAATCCACTTTGGACCTTCGATGGGTATAAGTGTAAGGTCGAGCCTCGGTCTAGCGGAAGTTCAGACCCTTAGGAACACACAGTCTCAAAGATGCTATCATGGATGTGCTATCTTTTAATGGCTTAAATGAGTAGACGTATGGCTAGCTGTTAGCTAATTCGTCCTATTCACTATATACCTATATTATATTAACAGCCTTCCACGTGATTAGTTAACCTTACCGACTAACGCTCGATGAAAGGGAAGAAAATAGCATTATTATGGCTAGATGACTTTTCGTCCCAAGGAGCTCTATTATGGCTTCTTATTCATAATTTAATAACAGAGCGATGCATTTCGTCAGAAGTAAAATTTGTGCGGGATGAAACATCTGTTCGAAAAGATCTGACTATGTACGATGCCGGAACTCCCGAATACTTATTTACGTGTTCAGATGGCCCTGATCATTTTGGGCGATGGGTATCCAACGATCTGAAAAAAGACAGAAAGAAATACGACGTAGACTATGTGCCCAAGTTATAGGTCGATATTTGCAGTGATCTCCCTGTGTGTCCATTTTGGGAATACGATATAGTGCCACAACCAAAGCGTCACCGGTCAGCGCGTGTAGCTGAGCATTTTCTAAGCTCTTCGTTCGCGACCCACAGCAGTGTGATAAAGGGCGCTCAATCAAACTGTGAACGATCGAAAGAAAAAACCAAAGCGTCGCCCCTTCCAACTGCCCATAACGAGCGACATAGCCAAATCTATTAGTTCGACAAAATGCTTGAATAGATTGATTTTTCTAAATAACAGAAGTTTAGTTTCTGACTGGGATGCCTCACATCGATTAGCACCAACCCAAAAAATATTACCACTGCTATGACGTCTAATTATTGCTCGTTTACGGCTGGCCAGTGCTTAAATGGTTGGGCATCACTTAACCAGCAATTAGGTCGGCAACGTGTCTTGATTTTTATGGGAGTATCGATTTAATCGCCCACCTTCCTAGTCGAGTAATTGTACATATATTTCGATGCTATACAATTTGAAGCTTAGGTCACTTGTTAAAGACACTGATTGCTGTTATTTCGCCCAACGGTTAAAAAACTAGATGACAATGACAAGCGGCCATGAACTTCGAGTGGGGCATGTATAATACATTCGGTACGCGTGTACAATAGAGACAGTTTTACGATGATCAGGATGATGAGGGCTTAGCTATTCGATCGGTCTACGTCAGTTTAGTAGACCCATCAAGTAAAACTGTAGATATTGGATAAACGTAGGCTAGATTGATGCTTACAATGCGTGTTGGTAGAATCGTGTAACAAGTGTTGCCATTTTTTCTTTTTAGATTGATCGTTACGTTGATCGATCTAAGCTTGACTGCATTTGTGTGGACAAACGCCTTGCAACATTACGACGTCAGTTGCCTGCCGTTACTGGACATCGTCTCCGGTCCTCCTCAACGACATCTGCGGTATCGTCGCCGTCCCTGTTGTTACTGTCACGCCATCGAGCCACATGAGAGGGGAGTGAGAAGAACAATACCACGGCCCAGAACGACAATAACGTTTGCGAGCCAAACCCACCATCGTCTCCTCAATGGAGCGGAATTCATAGCAGGCGATGCTCCCAGCACCGTTACTGGTGTTTATGATTACCGCGCTGCAACCCAACTGGACAGCGTGATTGTCGTAATGCGACAAGTCCTCGATATGCAATGTTCTCAGCCGGTAGTAGTCGCTATAACACTGGTGATGTGAGCAGAACACCACAGTGACTTCCGATCGCAGCGAGACAGCGCGCGGAAGGCTCCGGCGCTGACGACGTATTTGGCGGTTTACCTCCAGAATTTCTACGACAAGCTACAAGCCAGCCACAGCGTAATAAACGACCCACGAAAGTGCTTATGGTATCATCGAACTGCCGAAGCTGAAAAACAGGACAGAAGATCCGATTTGATGCGGACCAACCGACTGAACTGTCTGTGTGCTTTCTCGCCTGTTTCTGACTTCGACAGACTCTTCCATATATACTATCTCCATATAGAACGCTGAACTTATGTAGACGTCAGAGGGTACAGGCCAGTGTTGCGCATCCCAGCTCTTGATTGGTGTTGCTCCGGAGCTTCGTCCCTCGGCATGAAGTTGGCCGGCTTGCTTGCGTGCGGCGTCACTCTAGTGGCGAGCGACGGCAAAGCGCCAGGACCACACGGGCAACGGCGGCGTGGACGAAGAAGAAAAGAAGATGAGGCGATTTTCACGCGCGATTTACAGAAGGATGAACGCGCGTCGGAACGGTCGGATACATATAGTGGCTCTGCATCGCTAACTTTCCTTTTTGTCGTTATTCTGATGTGCCCCCGCTTTTGCTACTAACGGTTGCGCTTGAGTGGCGTTCCAAAAGCATTTTCCCTTCCCGAGGATTCGGTCACAGTCCCGTTTCATGCACTGGGTGTCGTTTTTCCTCCGGCCGTGCCGTGCCAAACCCCATCCTCTGGAAGTTCGGCGCGCTGACCGATGACCCTTAGACCGAGCGAACTACATTTTGAGCGTACTTCTTAAAAACCTAGTTTCCTGCAGCAAACTAACTATGTGCCCCTACGAGTAAGTACTTGTTGCTTCATGCATTTAAACGTATTTCAGGAGACGTGATTTCGCCCCACAAAAGTATTCTACGCAAGAGCCCCCTTATATGTGAATCAGTAGTTATCACTTTAGGTATCACACAGTAGGTACCACAAAACTACTTGGTCCGACCAGATGATAGACATCAAATGACAATATGAGTAAAACAAGTGTACTTCAGCTGTCGTGATACTTATCACACAGAACTTCCAAACAGATAGCCTTACGGCCACTTACGCGATGAGCGCGTTCACCAGCAGCGATGGTCGATCCTCCAGCTTTCCCTGGCGTCTGTCTTTGTTCAACTTGACCTGCCTGTCGCGCTTTCGGTCACGTATAGTCGCTTTTAGTTCTGATGCCGTCGGTAATAGCGCGCTGTCATTTCATGCGCGAGCGCAGCTCGCCCTACTCAAGAGCTCGCGGTTCCCCCCACGATATGGTGGATCAAGCTGTTTTTATTTTTCCTGTCCTTATCGTTTTCTCTGCGAAAGAACCGAAGAGAAGTGATCATCGTTGCTTCTTGGTTGTTAGTGCAGCAGTACATACATGTCGCGAAGTGCTAAACGAAGCCAAGGTAGAATAAAGGATACGTAGAAGGAAATCCCCACGCCGCCCGGAGTGGCTTCAGTGCGGCCAAAGCAACGTTGCCGTTGTCGTCGGCGGCTGATCCCGCCTGTCGGTTGGATGCATTCGTTGTTTTCGACGCGAAGAGTTGCTTTGCCCGTCTTTGGCTGCAGCATTTGCGCCTTCGTCCTGTGTTTCGTCCACCACAAGTCGAAAGACCAGAAAAACCGATGATGGCGCACGGATGGGCCTAGGCGGGCCAACGGCCGTTGGCAAAAGCAACGGAGGCAGCGAGACAGCACAAATCGAAAGAGCCGAAAACCCAGTTTCGCGGCTAGTGCTTCTCCTCGCCCTTGTTCCTCCCAAATGCTACTACTGCTACCAGTGTATATATATATATATGTATATATATAACGTGTTTATTGTTAAGACCAAGGTTGCGGCGACGTGAGGCGACGACCAACACGCGACGGCTCACGATGACTCAGTGTTGTCCGGCAGCGGCGACCGGTGCAGCGGCCAATGGACAACAGAATAGAATAGGGATAGAGCAGTGCATTTATGGCGGTCAGTAGCATCCAGAAAACGGGACAAGAGGAGCTGGCCAACAGAGCGATTTCCGTCCCGGCAGGATTGCCAGCTAACTACATAAAACGTAAAGATGTCGGCCAGAGGAATAAAAGTCGATATTGATGTAGACCATTGCTTTGCTGATGCCGACGGTAAAGTACGAGCCACTGTCTCGTTTCGCTGTGGGTTGGTTCGGGGTTCGATCGATCAGCGGCCGCATGGGTCCGCCCTTTCCTGTTTCTCTTGCGCTCGCTCTGGAAAGAAGCGCCGCTTACTACTGCGTAGTTTCATTGCTTTGCCTTCGTTCGTCGCTCGACGTCCAACGGCAACTGCTACCGTCGCTCAAGTGTCAATTTCTGTCCACCTCCTTAAGTAAGAATTGCGAAAATGAAAAGGTGGAAGAAGAAGGAGCGATGAATGGAGACGTTGAAGTCAACGGACTTTGTGTTGCGGGCTTTTCGTTTTGTCGCTGGGTGGCGCTGGACCACCGATAATTTAGCGCTATTTGAGCCAGTATAACCTATGCGGATGGCCGCTAACCCGCGCTAACCTCAGCACAAACTCTTGGTTCATTTCAGTGACGTCTGAGTGATTGAAGGAAGGCAAATGAACAGAAGGCGCTCCAATCGTTTGCGCCCGTTGTTATTTGCGGATCAACTAGAATACGCTGCCAGTACTCCTGGCAAGATTTATTACAGGGAGGCAGGCTGCACGTAGATAACGCTTGACTGAACTGGCAGCGGGATAACATATGATGGTCGAGTACCGGCCACGAAGACAAACGAAGAAGGTCGTCCATCCTAACTGTTTTAGCGGGGATAGTAAACGTCACGTGTTTCTATTTCTATTCCAGTTTATCGTTACTTATTGGAACTACGCGTTGGCACTTCTTTAATCAGGTATCACGTTTAGCGGCTGCTTTGGCCTAATATTTCAGACACAATTTCGCTCTTCCATGCATGCGCTAAACAGGAACGAAAATTAACAGGTGTCAAAAAGTCAGCCGTGAGGGGACCGTTTATCGGACTTGGCGCGCAATTTTGTCCTGTGATTGCAGCTGTCTCTGCTGTTCTGGATACTGTTATTGTTTTTTGGGGTTGTCCAGCGTAGGCCAAAGGTGGTGTGATTACTTGAGTAAGTTCGTCATTGTTCGACGACGAGCCCATACCAACTGAGAGAACAGGAAGGCTAAACAAAGACAATACAGCATACATAGGTAATGCATAATGGTTTTTATGAGAGTAGGCTCAATATCTTGGCGTTGATCTGTAGCGTTGTTTAGGATGCTGGATTTAAAATAAAATGAGCGACTAACGATTTTGCATGAAGTGTCACTTCATATATATACAGATAGACAAATTGATGGCTAGCCAATAAGAAAATGCGAGAAGCGAAACAGATCTACAATAGCTGTAAACAGCTTTAAGATGGCGGCACCATGTGTGGCTCGTGCGCACGTAATCAGGCTCCTCATCAGCCATTTTAGTGATAATACGGTTTGATGTGCGCGTCTGACATTGTGTTCGTGCGACATCACGAGAAAAGCCTTCAAGCAAGGAAATCAGCACGGGGGCATCCGAAGCGCCCTGAAAATCCGTTGCCTTGCATTGACTTTTGTCGACGAAAACAGGAGGGATGGCGAGATTCTACGTGTTCGGATGGATAATATTTTACGATTCTAGCTGGCTTTAGGAAAGGCCAGTCATTTCGTCCATTGTTAGCGTTACTAATGCATCAGACTGTAAAACTCTCGGAGCGGGTAAAAGCAAATCATGTTTATTGAAGCATATTTTTGCAGACTTGTTGGCTTCCAGTATACCAGACAAGTAGATCAACTTAGAGACAATACAACACGATACAATTAAAACAGCTAAGTACTTCTCGCCTTTTTTCTCCGCTATAGTTTATTACAGACTCGTTCAAAACAGTCACCTGTGGTATCTATTGAAAGGCCCGTCAGGTGTATGGGTCATCACTGCTCTTACCTTAGACTGAGGACAGCACATCATTCAGATATATTACTAAGAGTTTAGACGTTCCCTAATTTCTCAGGCACTACGTCTATCTATGTGTCGTACATAGCTACATCGTATGTGCACCAACCACTAAGCAGGCTGGCTTCATGCGAGTATCTTTTTTCTTCTGCTGAAGACCATTCATTCTGCGTCTGGGGTTCTGACGAGTGCTAACGAGTTCTTCGGTAGCCAATCTAGATATACCCGCATTAGGTTGTGGCCTTCAAGTCTAAATACGGAGCAAAAGGCAATGCAACCAGGCAATCCAATTCCTAGGAATTAGCTCAAGCATTTTCGCTGTTCTTCTTTTCTCCGACCTTCCGAAAAGACATTCAGCACTAACAGCCCATCATATAGAGTCGTTCGTCCATTATAGACATAATAACAACATAGAATCAAAACGATCGCGTACTCACAACAATTCTGTCACCTTCGACAGTAACAACTTAAACCGTAACAACGATATTAATATTTAAGATAATAATAATAAGAGATATACTATTATCATCGATAGTCCGCGGCAATGTAGGCAGATCTCGCCGCGAAAGGATTAGTGCCTGATGCGCCATGTATCTGTCGCGTCGCGTTTGCCATTAACCCTCTTGCTGCTACTTATCATGCGTCAGGCTTTCATTGTGATGGCGTACCGTGTCGCCTGTTGGCCGACAACGACACGCCAGTAGCAACTAACCGGTTTGGGCAGATAGCAAACAAGCCACTGCTACAACACGAACCAGTTATGTGATTAGACCAGTAAGCCAGCAACGACACCCAGATGATCTTGCTTTACCGGTAGACATTGAGCTAACGAAATTGCACTGCAATGAAGGCGATCTTACGTGACTCATATTGTTGCCACCGGGGCCACTGATGACGATGATCACCTGGTGAACCTGTCGCATCGCTCGGACTTCCTGTCGCAGTTCGATCGCTATTCATCAGCGTGGCAGTAAAATCGTCCACTGGCTGGTTCCATTTTTGTCTCCGTAGGTCGTTCGTCGATTTTCGTCACGAGTGACCATTGGCCGATTCCGTGCTTATCCGAGGGAAGAATAACCACGCGCAGTCTGTTCAACTGAATTATATAGTAGCAGTATCTAGCTGATCGACGGAGAAGGACAACAAAGTATCGGTTAAAAACGTCGCCAGTGGTAGATGTTCGTTCTATCGTGTAGCGATAAATATCGATTAAGAATAGTTGGCTAGCATCGTAGTAACCTGACGTTCTCTCGTTTGATCTGATCTGACTTAGCCTTGTGGTGGTGATTTGCAGAATATTTTGATAGCGTCGGCCACGGGAACGACAACTTCGGACGTATTGCTACGGTCTTCTTTGCGGGAATCATTTGATCGAGACCTGTGCAGATTTGCACGATACCGTAGCTATCAGCGCTTCTTAAAAAATGGTGTTTCTCGTTATCGGCGTCCACCTTAAGTGTGTTAACGAATTGAATCAGCCTTTGACAGGATTGGTAAACCCTACGACTCTAGCGGTCCTGCATAGGCCGCTCTTGCAGCTGGACCTGTTGTTGCCGTTAATGCAGCTTCGATACAATATATAGAACATCCCCTAAACCTGTTAGTTTATGGGAAGATATTTTAAAATTTTACACAATTTGCGTTGACATAGCATTGAGTAATCGATGCCTCGCGTATATATTAGATAGCAGCGAACCCCCCTCGTTTCAGTGTTTGGTCTATTCCAATATGGCTGTCCATTCTGATGTCGCCATCGATAAGTGCGATATTTTTGCAAAATTGGAAAATTAATTACTCATCGTCATTTGACTGGCTGTTGCAAAGCTCCGTTTTGTTCTTCTCTTTGGTAGC